ATGAAAAATATGCTGGTGGTCATATCAAACGAAAAATTAGAAAATTACGTGAAGAACAAAAAAAAAGTCAAAAAATATCTTGATTTGAAAAATTTTCTGATTTTTCATATACTGCACTTTTATGAATAACATATATTGAAATAATTATAATAAATTTAATCAATACTCTAGAAGAGCAGTGATAAATATTGATTTTTTCTTGATATCATAGAATTAAATAGTCTTTACTGACGTAGAATGAAAAATATTTAAAAGAAATATAAAAATAAAAAGTAGTGGTGACCTGAGCAAATGGAGAGGAGAAGAGCTGAGAGTGTAACAGCTCTCTGCAATGTTGGTTGCATTGAGCGTTCACTGGTAAAACTAAAAGAAAATTATTTCATAAATTAACGATAATAATCTTTTTAGTAATCGATGAGTTTATATAAAGTAACGAAATGATTATTGAAAAGCTTTTGCTTTTCTTATATTCGAATTTATAGATACGTCCTTTGACTGATTGTTCTGTATGACTCTTTATTGTGATACTTTGGCCTATACGTAAATTGAAAGTACATTGGCTTCTGATAACTTTTACCTAGACAATGTCTTTTTTTTTGTGATTTTATCGAGTATTGATGAACCATGAATATAAAGCTGAAGCACTAAAAGATAGGATAACAATTTTTTATTCCATTATCTTTCTTATTTGTGTCATTTCTTTTTTTTTCTTAGTATAGTGAATTATATAATTATTTTTTCTTCTTATTTGGTTTCTTATTGACGATCAATAAGTAGAAAGTTTGTCAAGTATTCAAAAAATAGTTCAAGCTAAAAAAATTAATTTCTTCATGTCAATAGTGTATTCTATGAATAATTGAATCAAAATACTAATCGAATGCCTAAAGGACAAAAGAAATACATAAAATGAAAAAGAAAAAAAATGTAAGGTTTATTTTGTATGAGATGAAATCAATATGGTTTTCAAAACAAGTGCAATATTTATTTAAAAATTCTATTACATAATCAATTAGTATATTAGTTTTTAAACTATAATCATTTTAAGCTATGTACATCAAAGAAGAACGAGATTATTTCAAACATTAAAGTCAATAATTTCACAAGTTTGTTTGACTTTTATAAATCTTTGTTGAATACGACAAAAAAAAAAATCACGAAATGGTATTGTTAGGATGATTTTTAATCATGTAGAAAAATGATGAAAAAGTCCAAGACGAAGTAAATAAAACTGTATAAAAATAAAATTGATAAAAAATATTTCTATAGTTCTTCGATAATCCTAAATAAATAATTAGTTCATACATATAATATGAAAGAGTTACGAAATGTTACCATACAGATTATATGAGTTTAAACTTGAGAATGAGATGAAGTTAATTCTAAAAGATAAAAAAGAATCTAAAGAAATCTAATGTTCAAAATCAAAGAGATAAATCTCCAAATCATATAATGATAACTATAAATAATTTGAATATGATCAGTGGATAAATGATGATGATTATCCAACACCAAAAGTTTCACTAGACAAAATGCGTTTTCAAAGCTATATTATATGACGTTAATAAGAAGAATAGGTCAATTTCATTGACTGTTTAAATCTTCTTCTTCTTCTTCTACATATTTACAAAACTCTTCTATTAGAAAAAATATTAATCAACAATCAAAAAACTCATATAGAAATTCTCTCAAATCAATGTATTTCATCCAATAAAATTTCGCTTCTTGTGTTTTTTCTCAAGAAAGTTATCAATTTTCAAACATTATAAAACAGCATAGCTAGATCGGAATACTTATCAGATTTTTCAATATACTCTGTTTTTCTAAACATTTGATTATTGCTATAAAATTACTTTTCAAAAAGAAAAAATAATTAACTAATACATAAAAAGCATTTTATTTTAGTCTCATGAAACATAAAGTAAGAGAAACGGCAGCATCAATAAAAAGAGTGTGTGTATGAATGTGTGAAGAAAAAAACAACAACCACTTCCGCATATCCACCCACACTCACACTAACTGATTGCTTTCAATTTATAGTCTATCGTGAATAGAACTATGTACTATCGAATCGAACAAATTCAAATAGTCTAGATACTAAACATTTCAGACGATATCAATTTCTTTTCTTCTTTATGCATTGTGTGTTACTATTGAAGGAATGTATTGTTTCAGAAGAAGTAGCATTGATCGTTTTGAATATTCATCCATTTGTAGAGTTTTGTGTACCTTAGAAATATTTTTGTATTTTTGTCAATCATTGCAACGAGTATTATAGATTTATTAGGTACTAATACGACAAAAAAACACATGTTTATAGTCATGAAATACTCTAAATTGAAATTGTCTCTTTTATCAATTAACAACTACAAATTTTTATTATTTAATAGGAACATAAAGATACAAAACGTATATTTCTTTAGCTATTTTCTTAGTTGTTGATTTATTTATTTATTTTTTTTAGAGAGTATTAATTTTTGTTTCGTATTATATTGAAATATATAGATGATTATAATTGTAATCAAAAGGTGGGTGGAAACGATGTCCTAATCTCTCAGAATCTCTTTTAATTAAAGTTATTCTCGTTTCGAAAAAAACTCATTTTATTTTACACATATTAATTGATGATTTAATCAAATCCCGTGATATTTTGCTTCTGCATTTAAAGGTAATGAAGTACTCAAAGAAAGTAATTGCAATTTATTTGACGATGTCTTTTTTGATAAAAGGATTATAGTAATACCATACTCGTGACATTTTTTAAAGGCAACTATTTCAACTTCTTAAGTCACTAATAAGTACAATGTATAGACGATTAAATTTGTATTTAAATAGTCGTTGGTTTTCTAGTGATTACATCAACTAATACCATCAAAAACTAGTAAGCTTAAATTTTTTATTTAATAATAAAATAAATTTCAAACATTAACTATGAGTTCGCCAACTGCAATAAATAAAAAGAAAGTAAATACGCATATATTGTAAAAATTTTCATAAGATAATTATAATTTTTAAAGCAAATAGGACAACAAGATCTACTAGTAGCATAACATTTCTTCATCACATAGGGATAAATGATTCATTATTTTCAATTCAATATAAAGCTGATAGCAACTATTAAGATGAAACCAAACAATATAATGACTTTGGATTAGATCATCTTGTACTCGTTACAAGTGTTGCTGGTCAAACCATATCGTTTGCTTTAAAATACAAGTCAATTAGTTTCATGTTCATATGTTCCCTTGGAAAATAACAGCCCTTAGTTATATCAGATATTGACTTCTATTTTCATATTACTGTTCATTATACTAGTTTGACTTATCACCTTTATTATTGTCTTTATGAAAATGATACAAAATAGATTTTGATCAGCAGAAGGATACACGCTACCTTTATAATTTATGTCACAATATGAGTATCAACTATGTATTATAATGAAGTATGATTACCAAATAAAATAGTCAAAGTTCTGTTTTAAAGAATACTGGAGGACTTTCATATTAGATATATATCGACTTTAACAGGATCAAATGTAAGGAACGCGCATGTTCTAGGCAATGGTATAATGTACAAAATATATTACTATTACATAGAATCACTGTTTCATCTAAAACTAAATTGAATTGAAATTCTGTTATTTTTATTATATAAATTTTGATGTCTATATTTGCATTCTTTTGTAAGGTTTATGTTTTCCGTCTTAAAATTTTATCAATACATAGATAGTCTAGTTTATATCAATGAATTATTAGTTGATAATCACGTCAAATCTTCATGTGAAATTCTAAAATAAGCAGTTTTGACAACTTGCTTTCATTTTTAATGGAAGTCATCCATTGCTTGATGAGAGTCTAAATTTAATTTTATCAATTGGTTCGAATGATGAAAATTTTACTGGTGATAATATAATCCAATTTCATTCATAAGTTCTTCTCTATCGTGTTTGTAAGCAATAGGATTTCTTGCTTTTGAAATACTATATCAATCGTCTAGAATTTCTTCTTGAATAGAACCTGTAGCGATTAGATAACTCATCATACTTTAGTTTATATATCTCTTATTTTTATTTTATATCAAATGGTTCATTAATAATAACTCAACTATTGATTATATAGGAATATCATATTCCAATTTCATACTGTCTATTTTTTCTCATCTCGTTCAAACATGGAGCTTGATCAATAGGCTTCGATCATATATTGATTGCGACCTAAACGACTGTACTTCAGTTGATAACTCATCACTAAATTAACTATGAGACACTTGGTTGATGTTTAAATAAATTTAGAATATGCAATTCTGATCAAATGTCACCAAGTTAATTTTTTGAGTATAGTAGATGATTGTGAACTCTACAGTTGTGAATTAACAGTCGATGATGTGTGTGTTCTATCTACTGATGAATTTGCACAACTACCGTTTATTTTTTAATATTATTACTAACCTTTCTTTTCGTTGAACTAATAGAAATATCGATTTCAAAAATTAACTGAAAAAAAAAACATTATATTTTTCATTCTCGTTGTCGATCGCTAAGGATCAGTTTTATGACTTATTCTTAATGGTTATCTGATTTACTTGCACAAGAAAGAATTTCTCCTTTCAATTAACGATAAAAGAACATAGAACAACCGAAAAATATTGTACTGTATTTAACAAGCCAAATTCAGAACGATAACACGTTGCATTTGCAAAAACAATCAAGCGTTATTAACATTAAAACTATTTTGTCTTAGTTTTCATTGACCTAGTTATGTCTATTTTTTCAAGATCATTGATGAATAAAACCAAAAAAATAAATCACAATAACATATCGTTGTCTAAAAAGACATAATCAATACACGAACTTATATCTAACCAAAATCACCAAACAAATATATATATATGAAAAACTCATTGAAAACATCTTCACAAGTTTTCATCTAGGAAATCTACACAAATGAATTATACAAGAATCAAATAAAAACAAAAAAAAAAAAATAAAACAAAACAAAACAATTTTAACATATTTTAATCTGACATAAATCTTCTTCGAATTGTACATGACTTATAGTACCATAATCTTTCATAGCTTTATAAATTAATTTTGCATTTAATTTTGTTATAGAATGAACACTACATAAATGATTTTTAAACTTATGAAATGCAATTGATGAATAACATGGTGTATTTGGTATAGAATTTTCTTTAGTAAATTTTATTGCCGTATCATCAAATGGACATTGAATATTTTCAGTAAAAGCTTGTGTATGATCTTGAGGAAATATTTTTGTTTCAATAGGATCCCAATTATTTTGAATAGCTTTAAGTAATTGAAGTGCTATTGATGGTTTAATACGATGAGTTCTTGTAAAATGTGCATATAAATTAAGTCGTCTATTATTATTATTTGAACATAAATTTAATAGATTATATGAACTATTAAGACCAAATATACCATATTGTGTTAATGGACACAAATCACGTAATAAAGCTAAATTTGATTTTGAAGATTTTTTAACTTTATTCTAAACGACAAAAAAAAAACTTTTTTTTTTTTTGGAAAAACAAAGAAATTTAGTTTTTAACTGGTAGAATTTCATTATGATTAATAGATGTTAATGTATTATTCATTGTTTCATATTGGTCTTTATTTATAACGTTTGTTGAATATGGTGATAATTCATCTCTAAATATCAATGTGATAGAAGAATTAAAAAAAATGAAAAATGACTTTTTATTTTTTTGTTACTCGGAATCTGATAATTCAATACATTCAATTTCTGTTGATATATTATTTTCTTCTAAAAATAGATTTATTTATTAGAAAAAGAAAAAGAAAATTATTTACTATCAATTGGCCATGAATTAATATCACTATTTTTATTACGTATTTCATGATTTAATTGATATTGTATATTAAGATTTTTTTGAATTTCATTTGATAAATTTTGTATTTGTTGATAATCTTCTTTTGTTAATTGATTATCACCATTTTTATATTTAATTAATTGTTCACGTTTAGTTGATATTAATTCATTTGTTTTTTTCGATAATTTTAAATGTTGATCTATAGAAAATATATGACAATCAAATAAAGAATTAATATGATTTAATTCATGTTGACGAGATTCTTCAGATTGTTTAAGATCACATTGTGATTGATTAAGTAAAATCGTAATAGGTTTTGAAAAGTCATCTAGTTGTTTTTCTAATTCATTTAAAAGACTTTTTTCATGTTCATTTCGATGTTGTTGACATACATATAAATGACAATGAGATTCACAAATTGTATTCGCTTCTAATAAACATGTTGGATGTTCACAGGACATTTTATTCTAATTAGTACAAAAAAAAAGAAAAGAAAAGTTATCAAAATATTTTTTATGATTATCTGCTAGTCTGATATTAAATAGGTACATGAAAATGACAACAAACTTATTAATAATGATACATGATCTATTATTTGTACCGAGAGAAATGAAAGACTATCCGTATAGAATTGAATTCCTATTCATGTTTAAATATTTGAGTGTGTGCGCATGTCTGATATAAAATTCTCGATTTGATAGACGTCACTACTAGTCGATAAAATAAGTTTTATGAGAAATATGAAGTCTAAAAATCTCTTTGACGAAATCAAAATGAAAACGAAAGTGAATTGTGATAGAAAATGTGTAATTATGAAATATATTATTTTTAGAGGAGAAAAAAAAGTTCTTTTAATAGTCATTTTGTTTATGCACAGTACGGATCAGACTAATATGAATGTACCAATTAGAGAATGATAATTGAATTAACAAAAGCTGTTAGAGTAATCCCTGTGAGATTAAAATGTGATATGCAATGCAACTGCTCTTGTTAATCTCAGTAAGATTGCTTTTGTTTTAACTATTATGGGACATACGTCTTCACCTTCTTTTTACTTAATCCTCCAGAAATGCAGTAAGAAAGTAGTTCATATATTAAAAAGAAACATCATCAATATACGGTCTTTGATCATATATCAACAACCTCTGTCACAGTCAGTGGGGAGAAGTTCAAATTTCAACTCTATATACTTCAACACTCCTTTTAGATAGTATTTCAAAAAATTGAAGGACAATCACATTCAACGAAATTAATTGTTGAAAATAGACAATCGAGATAATAAAGAATATGCTCAGATGGAATAACAATCTTGCATGACTTTGTATCCATAATATATTCTTGTATTGAACCAGGACCTGATACTTGTCATTCAATATCAGGAACAAGAACAGTGTCATGTAAATTTTGTGATCGACAACCAGCATTGAAGGTATTTTGATCAGAACTAACTTGACGCACCATACTTTATACACTGAATGGAGTAGATTTGGATGAAACTTGACCCAACAGATGTACATGAACTTGACGCAGTGATGTTCAAAGTATAGTAATATTTTGAATCACTCGTAGATACACTAAAAGACTATTGATTTTTTCACATGTAGCCAACCCAACATCTCTTGATTGAGAAAGTAGTTCAAAATAGGTATTGACAGTAATTATGCTAATGAAACGGAAACTGGTGGCACTGCCCCCTCCCCTCCCTCCCCCCATTCTTGCTCAAGCCTACGTGCGTCATACGCCCCTGTTTCTTTTGGTTTTACGAACAAGTGTCACAAAGGTTAATTAGAATCTTTCATCGTCTTGCAACATCCGATCTGCACAGTTCTGTGAAATGTTATCATAGACATGAGAAGTAGTAGCACGAGACAATCCCGTCAGTCTCTATGATGAAAGCAACAATAGTAATAATTATTCAATTGCTTTGTATATTGTTATAATGAATGAAAAAAGAAAAGAAAAGAATTATAAGCTGCTCTTTTTCAGTATTTTTTATATCAAACATTTGTTTTTATCTATATGACGTATATGAATCCATATTTTCAGTTGTTTCTGGATTCTTTTTTCTGAAACAACAGGTGCTATCATATCCATTCTTCACTTTTTTTTCATATACTATAACTCTGACAAAAGAGATAAGCTTTCAATAACTGTTAACCTTAAAATTAAACTTCAGACTTACAAAAAGAAAATGAAGCAATGAAACGACAATTTTAAATTAATCCTTTGAGGACGGAATCTTTTTTTAATTGAAAAGTGATTCTTCAGTCAATTTATTGTGTTCGACTCAAAATGACTGCATAAATACTTTATGATAATATATCAACGGAAGAGAGCGAGATATCATGACGTCAGTGTATAGTAGCAGAAAGAAAGGAGAACATCTGCGAGAGATCTATATGACAGGAAGAAGATGAGAAAAGATATGCACGAAATGGCAGATGAGACGACCTATTACCTTACAGGTCATAACAGTATAAAGGAGAGCGAACATTTTCTTTACTGAAAAATAGGTGGTATAACGTATGTACTGCTGTCCCCAAAAGGTTAATAAAAATTAAATCTTTATTAATTCTCATGAAGGTTTCAATGATTCATTTGTATAAAATAAATCAACTGAAAGAAATAACTAAGCAGCGTAATCAGGAAGAAATAAAGTGTATGAAAGGAAAGAGACTTCAAACTCTTGACTAACGTTTTAGGTCCTAAGAGAAAAGAGATCATTTAGACGAATCAATTTGTTTGAAATTTTGCTAGGATATTTGATAAGTTTTCTTCTGAAATTTTGTCATTATAGATTTTTGCACTTGTAGTCAACTTTTGTAGGAGTGATATCGCATATATTTTTCTTCTGGGAATGTTATTAATCTTGTGTATGTATTCTGTCGACATATATGAAGGAAATCCAAGTGTTGCTCTCACATATTTGTTTTGCATTATTTGTAACCGTTGCCAAATTTTATCATTAGCTGTTAGAAGAATAGTCGATCCTTACGTAATAATTGATCGTACTATCAATTTATATAGGTTCAACATTATGTTATCGTTCAAACTGAGAGTTGATCTTGACAGAAAGCGAAAGAGACTAATTCTTGGTGCTACGTTCAGTATTTTGATGAATGTTATTCATTGAGCCACTAATATATGTATTGTGTACAGGAGTGGTATTGACACAATGAGAAGGTGTCCTATTGGTGTTTCATTTCAACTCCAAGAGCTTCATTGTTTTGAATTGTTTTATTAAAATTTTCATAGCATTTTGTATTGTTTCGTGTTGCAAGTAATACACCACCACTTTATTTATTCAATCTGTCGTTTCGATATAGGTTATACCTGGGAAGTGAGAAAAGATGTTGTGGTTTCAAGTTTGTTTCATTAATTGATACAATATCAAATTTTTTAAACCGTGTATAAATTTCATCTTTATATTTTTTAATTGAGGTAACATTAAAATCCATGATTTAATCATTGTTTTGACTTAATGTAATTGTCAATATGAGTATCAATATCAATTTTGAAATCTTTAACTATGCTAGTGGATTTGCTTAATAATCTACTCGGTAAGATGTATTTTCGTTTAGAACTATTGATTGGAGTTGACATGAGATCAATAATTTCATTTTGAGTTTCTTCAGCCAATTGTTCTTGTACTAATTTATGTTTACTATTCATTCGTTTTTTGTTATTAATTGATTCTTGTTCATTGGTTTCTTCTTCGTCGAGTCATTATTCGTCATCAATGTTAAGTTTCTTGCTAAGTCTACGCGTTAGTATTTTGATTCTTTGACTGAGGGTTTTGAAGATTTTTTGTACTGCTTGTTTCACAATCGTCATCATTTTTTCTGTAAATAACTCAACGATATGTAAGTGTTCAACTTTTTCTGAACTTTTAAGAATAGGAAAGTCATCTTTGTTATGCCAATTTGGACATATTTGTGTTGGTCTCACCTGTTTTGCTGTTGATGAATATTCATTGATTGTTTTCTGTATTTTTTGCTGATATTCTTTGTATTTCAGACAATCTGAAGATGTTACGATGTGTTCTCCTTTACGATTGCAACAGATGGGAATTAGATTTGTGCCGGAACAGTTGTCATATTTATGATTTTATACTTCCACATCTGGAACCTAATTGATGATCCGCTTTACACTACTTGACGATATGTCCAAGTTTAAAACATTTAAAGCATTAAGATAGGTTTTTTTTTATTGTGATTAGCTGATTCAGCGAGGAAATGCATTGAATCGATTTGTAGACAAAGTTTAACAGATAAATCTCTATTTGATGAATCTGCAAAACTGATTTTTATCGTTATAGCTGATGTCTTTTGTTTGTTAATTATTCGAGCAATATTTTCATATTTAAATCCATGTTTATTTAGTACTTGTTTGATTTCTTCATCACTTATTTCTAAATCTACCCTCTTAATAAATGTTTCTTTGTTATTTTCCAATATTCTTTGAATGGAACAAGGAACGTACCCTAGTGAAACTACTCATCAAGCGAGTACGACTTGCCAGCGTGACTATTCAAATTACTCCCATGAGTACTTGAGCATTTTTATTTGTATTTGTACTTCCCGTGTACTGCAGCGAGTACTCATATGAGTTGTGTCGTTAAAATTTATTCGCAGACAAAAGTACAAATACTCAATATAGTACTCATCATCGTTTTTCTCCAGAATGTTTAACAAAATGCTTATGCACTAACATGTATAAAAGTAGAATAATGTTGTGTAATAAAGAAAAATGATATAATTAAATGAAAAATAGAAAAGAATTATTCTAACGGCTTATGTGTTTTATCCTCCACTCTTTTCTGACGAGTCATCATCCTCCGCTTCTTTCTGACGTGTCATCCGTACTACTTTGTGAGTGACTGTTTCAGAAATATTATAGAAAGAAAAAAAATGACTTTTCATTTTAAACTGTTCATTTATCGAGTAAGATTAAATACTGATTTAAATACGTATATAAACGATAATTTGTTCAATTTGATCATATCGTAAATTTTAGATAGAATATCCTTCTAAATTAATAAACACTTTTCTCAGATTGATTAGGAAAATTATTGAAACAAAACAATCCATAATAACTGTTGTTACAATCGGTTAGAATTCAATATCTCGAAGAAATGTATATCAAATTAAAGACAATTTACTTATTTTTTACTTTTTAATATGTTACTAAGTTCAATCAATTTATCAATCTAAAATGTGCGTTTTGTTTTTTGTTTGTAATGATCTGTACTATACGTTTGTTGTTTTCACATATTTTCGTTTCATAAATAATTTATTGTTCTTTCTCAATACATGTTTTTATTTACTCCTTTTCTAGGTTCTAAAGATGAAAATTTATTTCTATTCTCTATACAGAAAAAAACTCAAAATCATGTAACATATGTAGCTCTCAAGTTTCATGTTTTTCTAAATGTTTCATAGTATATTACACTATTTTCTGTTATTAATTATGTATTTAAATAAAGTAGATGGAGTACAACTGTACTGAATAGAATATGAACCTATGAATAATTTACATAAACTACCAGAGTATACCTAAATGATATTGAAGTACTCAGAAAACACTCAATGTTACACAGCAAGTACTTGATGGTTGTACTCAGATTCTAGCACGAGTACTCATGAGGACTTGCGACATTTTCTACCGTGAGTACTTTTTTGAGTATTCTCTTGATGAGTACATTCACTAGGGTAGATTGCAGAATTTTGATTTTCTTTAGCTTGAATGATTGGCGTTAAGTCAATGATGAATCGATTGAATGATTTTATATCATTTACATAGAGTGTGAATGTGTTGGATCAGTTTACTTGTATATTTAATACTTTCACGTCGGGTAGATAATTTTTTATAAAATAGTTTATTTTAACTTTCATAAGTAATTCAGCTTCAACAATAAGTGGTGTGATACCAAATTCAGGTCTTATATTTGTTACTGATTAATTTTCTTCTATCAGTACTGGCCGTTGGGGGCGGTGATGATTGATGTGGTTGTCTTTGAATTATTTTGTTCATCTTTTCTTTTTCCACGAATATCTCACTTCTTCTTAGCGGTATGACGATTTACTTGTTGAACCAACATGTTGTTGATGTATTAATTGATCACTTGAATATGTTTTGTTTATTTATTTATTATTATTATTCTTTTAATTTTTGACCTTATTGACCTTTCAGTACACGCAAAGAAAAACAAAAATAGTTAGATATACGGCTTATTGGTAGCGTACAGAAATAAGGAATTAATTCTCACCAATACAAGAAAAAAAAAAGAACATTTGTATACTATCCATTTTTTACAGAAAGATATAATAGTAAATATAATTTCATGGAAAGGAAATATTCTTTGCAGATTACATAACAAAACTATGTTTTCTAACTCATTTATGATACAAACAAAGATCAATTACCATTGAAATTAAGAAAGGTGATGGGTACGTGCCAAGTACAAAAATAGATACTGTCATGTATACACTCTTTGTTTAAGGATTTACTCTTTTCTCTCCAGAGACGTGGAATGAAACGGAAATGAACTTTTCAATGTGAAATATCATGCAAAAAACAAGTTACTTATCTAACACGCAAACACATTGTTAATTGATGTTCTTGTTTTTTTTTATTCTTCTTCTGAAATTACTCACGTCATACCTATTTCCACCTACTCATCCCACCTCTGCTATTTTTTTTCTAATCCTACAATTTAATGACGTCTATCCTTCTAATAAGGAGAAAGAGTTGTACGAATGCATTAACACAATCAAGTAAATCTAAACAGTTCGCAAATTTAATAAAGTGCCGGTGTAATGGAAAAACCTCCTTTATATCCTGATTGTGATTTTACTATTTGGTTTCGTTCTGTTAATGAAAATAATATTACTGAAAAGCCTATCGAAGGACGAAAAACAGGTAAGAAATAAAAAGTTTTCTTTTTGAAATTTTCTGCATAGTATGAATATTTTTAAAAAAGGAATTATTCCTAATTGGATCGATGGTTGTTTTTATCAAAATGGACCTGGTCTATTTTATGCAACAGGAAAACGTGTTCAACATATATTTGATGCTTTTGGACTCATACAAAAGTATTTTAAATATATTTTTTTCTAAACTTCTTGATTATATTTCGTTTTGGTTTTCGAATAGATTTACGATTAAAAATGGTCATGTTACATATCAAAATCGAATTCTTCAATCAAATGCTTATAAAGAAGCACATGAAACTGGTCGATCATGTTATTCTGAGTATGGTACATCAAAAAGTGAAAATTCAAATTCATCAAATAATAAAAATGAATTAAAATCTACATTGAGCTGGATTTTTACACGGTAATTACTTTGAATTTCTTAATTCTTTTTAGAAAACAAGGGAAAAAAAAAACTTTTTATTTAGTATTCGGGATCTTGTTCATTTTAAAAATGATTTTCGAACAGACAATACAATGATTAGTATTTACCCATACAAAATCAATAATGATCAAGTAGCATTATTTACAATGACTGAGGTAGAAAATAATAGATTTTCAAGAGTACATCTGACTTGATTTTCTTTGAATTTAGACTCCTATTATGCATGAAATAGATGCAAAAACAATTGAAACATGTTCAAAATTCAATGTTAGTGACCATGTATCTATTGTTTCTCATTGTGCTCATCCTATTATTCTTGATGATGGAACAATACTTAATGTTGGTTTATCACCAAGTTTAATGGGCATGAATTATGTTTTATTTGAATTTCCAGGTTTGAAAAACAGATTGAAATAATAAGTTTAAAAAAGAATATTCTGATAAAACAATTTTAGGTTTGTTAAATACAAATACTGAAGATAATTTTATGAATCAATGTAGAATATTAGTAAAAATTCCATGTCGTTGGCCAATTAATCCATCCTATATGCATGCATTTGCTGTAACCGATAATTATATTATTCTTATTGAACAATCACTTTGTATATCTCTTGTTCAAATGGCTCAACTTACACTAACACAGGGTCCAATGACAGATGCACTTATTTGGCATGAAAATGAACCGGTTTATATGAAAAAAATTTTTAAATTCAAATAAAAAAAACCTATTTGTTTTATTTAGGTTCGCTTTCGTCTTATTAATCGTAAAACAATGACTGAATATAATGAATATATATATTTATCATCATCATTCTTTTATCTTCATATAATCAATGCATATGAAGATAAAAATCATCTAATTCTTGATGTTTGTTGTTATGATAATCCTGACATGCTGAAATGCATGACAATGGAAGCACTTGAAGTAATTATTTTTCTTTTCTTTTATATTTAAGAAAAAATAAAAGTTTGTACTCTTGTTTTTCTAAATATTTTAGAATGCTCAACAAAATCCTGATTATTTTAAACAATTTCGTAGTAGACCAAAACGATTTGTTTTACCTATTTCAATAAAAAAAGATAATGAAAATTTGGTTGATCTAAATTATACAACATGTCAAGTTAAATTAATTGACAATAAAAATTTATGGATTGAACCAGAATTAATTATTGATATGGGTTGTGAATTACCTCAAATAGATTATTTTCGACATTATGGAAAATTTTATCGATATTTTTATGCAATTAATACTGATGTTGATTATCAATATTGTGGATCGGTATAATGAAATTGCTTTTTTTTTCTTGTAAGAAAATCTTATTAATTTTGATTTATTTAGGTTAGAAAAATTGATGTTCATTCAAAAACATGTCAAATTTGGCATGAACCAGAATGTTATACATCGGAACCAATTTTCTTACGAAATCCTTCAAATGAAACTGTAAGATAAGACATAGAATTGATTGATGTATATTGTTTTATTATTATAGGGAGAAGAAGATGAAGGAGTTTTAATTATGTCATTATTAAGAACTAATCGAGAAAATGAAGTCAGTTTTCTTGTGCTTGATGCACGAAATATGACAGAAATTGGACGTGTTCAATTTGATACAAATGGTCCGGTACCAAAAAATCTTCATGGTCTATGGGTGGATTCAAAACTTAAATGTACATAAAAACACAATGTAAAAGTTAAACTGAATTGATAATATCTGCATATAAACCAATGAACATTAAATATAATTTAATGTAAAACTTTTATGTTGCTTTTTGTTGCTTATAATGAATTTAATTTTTTTTTGCAAAATCCATGCTTGAAAAGCTTTAATGTGGCAATAAAAATATAATATTTATATAATAAATAAAGTGGCTGGCACAGAAACAGATATGAATTTGAATTATAACTTACAAGAAAACTACCCTAAGTGACACCCGCCATTTGAATTCATATCGGACCTACAGCTAGATCTCAGTGAGACTAGAAAAGGCTTAAAAGGATTCATTCTTTTGAGTTATTGTTATCGAGTTATGGTCGGTTTAGTGAATTTTTGATTCAAATTCCAATATACTTCAAAATTCAATAATTCGATGAAGAAACGTTCTTTTCGGCTGAGAGTTTCAGAATATTTTATGAATCATTAGATCTATCTATAGATAAAATTTTGGATCCAAACTTCGTTATTCGGTCTTTCCCGAAAATACTTAAAAATGGATCAAAAATCCAATAAACTGGTCATAACTCGACGTCAATGAGAACAGACTCTTTTAGGCTTTGATTATTCTCATTAAGATCTTTCTGTAGATCTAATATGAGTTCAGACAGTGGATGCTACTAGGGGTAGTTTCCTTGTTAGGAAATTGATGGAAAATACAATTTATTTTCGACAAGTTCGATTGTATTTTACGTTGTTCTATTTAAAGAAGTACTATTATCATCATTGATGAAACACATATTTATATATGTGGATGCTCTTTATCTGTTTTATGTAATGTAAAATTCAAATTTCTATTTTTCTTTTTTAACAATTTGACAATAATCAAACAAAAAACACAAATATTAGATATCTCTAATTGTGAAATATAGAAACAATTATTTTTTTTTTCTAAATATATTATATAGAGAATTTGCTTTTTTTTTGTGTATTTATTACCTATGGTTTTCTGATTAATATAAAGCTAATAGTTATAGGTTGTTTATCTCATGGATTTGCTTCATATGGATAGAATGATACGAGTCTTTTTTCTATATTGATATTATAACTAAGAATATAGAAAAGCGTATCAAAAATAAAAACCATCAATTACATGCTGATGATTTGAATATTTGCAATTATTTAGAAAATGATGTCAGAGTAATAGATGAAGTTACTTAGAAATTAGTTCACTTGAGTAGATTAAAATATTGTTGATACTGAAAATCGATTTGATTAACATGTTGATTACTACCAGAATTTATTTTTATCACTGCAATCAAATTGATATTTTAATCAAGAAACAAATTGTTTTATGAAAGTTATTTATTAACAATTAAAATATCCTTTTTTCTTTTATTCTATATTGATTACATATTGCGTCATACCCATCAAACAAACAAGAAAGAGTTTGTACAAAGTTTTCCTGTTATGTTTTAAACAAGCCTCGATAATTGCAATGAGGAAAATAAAAATTGGATAACTAACATAAGGGTTTTTCTGTTATTATATTATACAAAATAATTAATAGCCAGTAGAGTTTGTTTTAATTTTTATACTCATATTTTACCAATCCCCATTTCCAAAATCACTTCCTAAATAGAAAGAAAAAAACCCAGTTAATCTTTAAGAAAAAAAAGAATTATCTACCGCGAAAATCGCCTCCACCGCCACCAAAATCTATAAAACATCAATAAAAATTTAAACAATTTGCACTAATACAATTAACCTTACCATCACCACCGTAATTGTTGTCACCACTATTGTAATCATCGCCACAACCATCGTAATCATTTCTACCACCACTGAAATCATCGCCACCATCACCGTAATCATCGCCGCCGTTGTAGACATCGCCACCACCACCGTAGTCATCGCCATCGCCGCCGTAATTACCGCCACCACTACCGTAATCATTGCCGCCACCACTATAATCAGCACCACCGTTATCATAGCCACCACCACCACCATAATCAGCGCTATCGCCATTATAATCAGCGCCGCCACCATCGTAATCATGGTCATCACCGCCGTAGTTATCGCTGCCATGATCACAAAAGTGATCACCACCATCAAAATCTGTATAATATCAATGAAACACGAAATAAATATACTTTTTATAGTGATTCTTACCTCCATGACCACCATCCCTGTCATTTCCATCACTATTATTTCCTGACTGTTGATTATTATTTGTCTCATATTGAACATCGTTTTGTTGATTATCATTGTCATTGTAATTATTTGTTTCATTATAGGTCGAAAAACTATTATTCGTTGTACTATTATTGTAATTATTCATTGTATCATTATCATAGCTAAAAGAAAATTTAAGTTTTTTCTTTCCAATATACGTGAAAAAGAAAAGATTTACACACTAGTTATTGATGACCGTGGTATCATTGTCTCCAAAACCCCATCCACTAAAATAATAATTAAGCCTTATTAGGTGTTTCTGAGACGTCAATATTATTTTCTAGCTTATGATGTCTCGAAATAGGACATCTTATTTTGAATATTTCTCATCATATCATAATAAAAAATTGTTTTCCAACTTACCCATATCCGCTATGATGTCCAATAGGTCCCATTCCATATCCCCATCCATCATGTCCACCAAAACCACCTCCCCATGCATAGCCAAGAGCACCTAATAGCAACAAATTTCGATACTCTTTTGTAATATATTTTTCAAGATCTTACCACCCAGTAATGCTCCGCCAGCAAAACCGGCTCCTGCACTAATTAGTGAACTTCCACCGCCACCTCGATTATAGCCACTATATCCTCCGCTACTATATGAAGGTGACGGTTGTACAACGACATTTGTATAATGATAAGTTGGTTGTTGATTGCCATGCATTTTTGGATATATCGGTTGTTGTTGTCGAGGATGTGAAGTTGATCTTGGATAAGCTAAAAGAGATTTTTAAAATAATGTTTGTTTGATAAAATAATGAACATACGTAGTGGAACATTAGATGACGAATGAGCAGATGATCGAATAGCAGTATTTTGTTGTGGATGAGGTGGTGCTGATGGTTGTTGAGGTGAAGGAGGTAACTATATAAACGAAATTATTATTTATATTTATTAAATTTAGTAGAATGAACTCACCGTAGAAATAATTGCTTTCATCCAGTCACTACATATTTTTAAAAAATCAATAAACATTAAATTATTTTATGATTTTTCTTACTTTAAATGTGTTACATCATTACAAAGAATCCATATTATTTCTTGATCATCATGTCCAGGTGATGATCTTGGTAATGCAATAAGATTAGCTTCATCAGTTGGTCGAGTAAGTTCTGGTCGATTAGATAAATATCGTGTATATGGTCCAACACAAAGATTTTGAGCTATATCACGAATACGTATTGATCCATCTGGTTTTCGATCATTTTGTTTTTCATACCATTGTAATGTTGAATCATCAAACAATATAAAATAATAATTTTTCCATTGTTTTGATAATAAACCTTCTACAATAGAAGTATGTTAAATTTTGAGCAAATTATTATTTATATTAATAAAAAAAAACCTACGTACTATAAAAGTATCGAAGATGACCTGTTTTAATATGCTGAGACATTTTGTTGATTTTTGAAACAAACTATTTGTCTGAGTACATATCGATATACAAATGGTTTGAGCGTCTACTAACTGCACATTGAAGTCAAACCGTTATTGACTCAAACAAAAACTATTCTTCTACGAGAGAGTAACGTCACTCACGTTAAACACCTTTTTCTTTTGTCTATTATTCTGATGAAAGTATATGTATATTCAATTAGAAGCGTTGCTTAGGTGTTGAACGAGATTGAAGGGTGGACAATTTTTTTCTTTTCTGTTCTTCTCATTTTCTGTCTTATTAATTCTTGGTAGTAATACTAAAAAAGAAATCAAGCATCTACTTGCGTACATTTTGATTCTTTTTTCTATAAGTTAATAACGAGTTACTTGTAAAACAAAAATAAAAAAGATGAATACATATTGTTGAAAGTATAGGGTGGGTAAAAATATTTTTCCAGGGGGAATAACGCTGTGATTTTAAATAGAGTCAATAACAAACTTTATACCAAATGAAAGTACGTCAAAAATAGAATTTGTCAGTATTAAATAGTAAGGATTTTGTCAATCTTTTTATATGAAACATAACAAATTTCTAGAAATTTTCGCCATTTTAGTATGAAAAAAGTTCTTTCATAAGACAGTTCAAAAACGAAATTTAATTCAAATTGATGGTTTTCTACGAAGTAATGCTGCGAATATTTCTAGAAATTTATTATTTTTGATATAAAAATATTGATAGAATCCTTACTATTTAATACTGACAAACCCCATTTTTGATGCCCTTTCATTTGATATAAAATTTGTCATTGCCCCTATTTAAAATCAAAACATTATCCCGTAGAAAACCATTTTTATGTATCCTCTTTCTAGAGATTTATTATGTTTGATATAAAAAGTTTTGTAGAACCCTAACCATTTAATACTATAGTCTGTTTAAAAAGTTCGTGTGTGTAACTGTTTTTTGAATAACTCGAAAACACAAACAGCTAGAGACCTGGAGTTTTCACCAATCGAAAGAAGAGGAGTTAGGGCGTCTTTCTCTCTGACAATATCTCAGATGAAATTCTTTTAAAACTGATCATCTTTGAAAAATATAGAAAAGAATGCATGAAAGTGATATACAATACAAATGAAGTTTTGATTATGACCTTTGATTTAGATAGAGGGAGCTCAGATCTATAGTTCAAAACATAATACGCTTTCTTACGTTTCATTACATTTTCATCGTAGTATCCGACTGTTATGACAAAAAATGCAAAAACGTAGTAAAACATCAGTAAAATTCCCTATTATTTGTGCATGTAAATACATGATTTCATTTGGTCAACGTTAGAATGCAATTAGAGAGCCATTTGGATTGCATCTTGAACTATAGATTTGAAGTCTCTCTGTCTAAATCAAAGGTCATAATCGAAACTTCATTTGTATTGTATATCACTTTCATGCATTCTTTTCTATATTTTTCAAAGATGATCAGTTTTAAAAGAATTTCATCTGAGATATTATCAGAGAGAAAGACACCCTAACTCCTCCTCTTTCAATTGGTGAAAACCGCAGATCTCTAGCTGTTTGTGTTCTCGAGTTATTCAAAAAACAGTTACACACACGGACTTTTTAAACAGACTATAGTAAATCCTATTTTTGACTTGCTTTCATTTGGTATAAAATTTATTTTTGACTCTATTTAAAATCACAGCGTTACTCCCGTGGAAAAATATTTTTACCCATCCTGTATATATGGGTAGTTTCATTTATTAACAACGTAATTTTGCAAATGTGAATGATTTACATTGCTGAACTTGGACATTTCTTTCTAACTAATTTTTATATAACAGATATATGTTGAGTTACTTTAGATACCCTGAAAAACTCAACCTTATGGACCTTGGTTCCGCAAAGTTATTATTGAAAAGCTAGCGCTAGTGATGTAATGTAAAAAGAAAAAGCACAAAGATTTCCATTGCGTACATTTTTATTTACGAATTCTGCAAGTACAAACAATATTTTTAAGAACTAAATAGTGCATTTCGTAAAGGATTCTTCGGCCTACAAAATCTCTATGCAAAGTTTTTCATGAATATATGCTTAGGTGTTTTCAAAAGATTGAGTTTATTCGTTGTTAACGACTATAGAAACAAAAAATGTTTTTGTAACTGAACAAAAAGTTCAAAAATTGAATCCAAATGGTATCAATTCTTCTTATGAATCATGAGATGATTGCAAAACAGCATTTATAAAAAAGGAAACAATAAATGATATTCACAAATTGTTGAAATAGTAAAAACAAAATTTATTTCAATCCATTTTTTTTGTTATTGCATAGTTCTCATATAATATAAAAAAGAATCACACAATGTATACATCACGATATTTTATAAATGTGAAACTTAATGAAGAAAACATTTTACTTCTTAATTTAATCTTAAATTGTTCAATTTCATTTGTAATTACATGAAAGATGTATATATAGATCAAAACACATCATTTCATATATATATATATTGATATACATATATCGATATCTTTCTTATTAGAGTAAAAAAAAAACAAAAAACAACACAAAGAAAAATTTATAAAAGAGTGCCACTGATGTATAAGCGAATGTATAAGAAAATCAAACGAAAACAAAAAAAAGAAATACACAAAAAAAAAAAATCTCTCGTTCATTTATTTCACTGTGGAGAAAAACAAAATGAAAACACACTAAAAATAAATTTCCGAAACATATCATTTTAATATTTGATCTCGTCGTAATTTTAAGCAAGCAAGAACAACTTGACATTGATACATTGAACCTTGTAATTCTGATGACATTTGATCAACATCTGTTTGTATTGTTGAATTATTATTTGTACTAGTATTTAAACGTTGATTATCATCTGAATAATATGTTGTTAGTAATAATTTTGATGGTCTCATTAATGTTGGTCCAAAAACAACAGCTAAATTATCTAAATGCATCATATTTATATGTGAATGTTGACTAACACGTATTAAATGATCAAATAAATAAAATAAAATTTTTCGATTAATTGTATCTAATAATTCAAATGTTTTTAATAATGTAACACGTTGATTATCAATATCAGTTAATTGTATAGCATGTAAAAATTGTTTATATAATGTACTACTAAATAATGGTTCAGGTAATTCACGAAAAAATAATTTTAATAAATTAGCTGCAACATGTACATTTTTTTGAAGTAACATTTCTTCACCATGACGATAATTTCGATCAAATTCATTACGAAGTTTTTGTAAATCTGATGCAACACAACAAACACGATATATACCTGTTTCATTTAAACCATCACGTTCAACTATTTCAATACATTTAACAATGATACGTGGAATACCATTAATACTAAAACAAACAAAAAACAAAAGGTTTTGTTTTTTTCAAAATGAAATGTATATATATATATGTATGTATCAACATACAGTCCATTTGGTACAGTTAGTAATTTTTCAATACTTTTTCCAAATACAGCAAGACTTCGTTTTGATGGTCGACGTTTAAATGTTCCGTCACGTTTTGAATAGCTTAAGGAAAATTTTAATTTTAAATCTCCAGATGATGATTCAATACATGTAACTCGATTTGGATTATTTTGACATTCACGTAATGCAGGTTCAATCTTAATTTGAAGAATTTGAGTTTTTTTTTGTAATAAGAAATTTTTTTAAAGCTTACATCTTGATGAAATTTACCAATCCATATTTCTTTTTGTAAACTATTATGAGTATCTATTGTAGATGAATCAGTACGATAGACAAGAAAACGAATGGCAAGTGAATATTCTAATTCAATTTGAAATGCCTAAAAAAATATTTAAAAAATTGATTAAATTGTTCTATTTTTGCTTTTTTTAAATAGAATTTAAAAATTCAAAATTTTTTTTTTGGAATGAAAATCAATAGATGTTTCGAAAAAAAAATATGAGTAGAATAATTTCGCATCCTGAAACACGTAATATCTATTTTAGAAAAATTTGATAGAACTATGTACTTTTATCTTCTCTCTAATCATAATCCTTTATTTATTCCAGAGCTATTTCAATTTCGATGATAAGGAATAGTTAGGAATACTTTGTGATCAATTTAGTGATCTAAGAGTAATCGAGAAAACTCTTGTCTTAGAAGGGAACTTCTCCAGATGATAAAAAGTTTCGAAAATGAAACTTATGTCATGAAGTAGAGTCTACTGAGACTAGGCAAAACTTATAATGATTCATGTTCTTACTGAGTTTCTGACTTCATGTAGGATACAGTCAAACTGTTCTCTGTGAGCACCTCCTTATACTAGACAGTGGATGCTTATTTCTGACCCTATAAACAATAATAACTTCTGTAATTTAAGCACCATATGTTCTATCATTCACGTGCAGAATACCAAAAAAAAATGATGCTATGATAAACAATCATCGGACACAGGAAAAGAAGATGGGCCAGCTGTAGATATTTAAAAGAAAAAAAAACAATATTAGATGTTAGCATCCAGTGACATCAAATCATGTCAACGCATGTTGATTTACCGTGGATTAAAAAAGTTGAATTAATAAATTGTTGGAAAGAAGAAAAAGATTATCTAGTACAATCGAAAAGTGATTGTGACAAAGTATTTATAGATTGACAAAAAAAGAAATCAAAAACCTTTCAATAATGAGCACCTTCATAAAAGTAAGCACTTTTGGCCAGTACCGATGATGCTTACCTTAGAGAGGTTTTACGGTATGTCATAAATAATTAAATATCGTCATTTTGTGTTGAAATTTCGTGGATTAAGAGAACTTATGAACTTTATCATGCATTGAAACCTTCAGTTCAAATGAATATTTTCTTTCTGAAATATGCGCAATCGTTGAAGATCGAATATTTTGGGAAGAAAACATTCGTTCTAACTAAAATTTTCTATGTATTATAGGATTCATAAGACTTCTTTACGGGTGAAATTGCAGCTCGAAATGACGATATTAAATTTTTTATAACATGTCCTATACAAAGCTGAAAACTGAGCAA